TACACACACACACACACACACACACACACACACACACACACACACACACTTAATGATTATATATGTGAATAATATTTTTTAAAAATTAAGAATTAGTGTCTGAACTATGATAATGTTTTAATAACAGAAAACTTGTGCATTACAGGCACATGAAATGTTAGTGAATGCAAGAAACATCCAGAGTAAACAGGAGAAGGAAAAGGTGTTACGGGAAGCTCTGCAGGTAAGAACAATTTTATAGAAACTAGTTTTTTGTTATTAACTACTATTGTTGTTTCTATTTCTTTATTACTGCATCTGATTACTGTTTAACTTTTTTTACAAACCATATCATCTAACTTTGTTTATATAATAATATATTAATTTGAACACAATTGTGTTGTGTGTATTGAGAAGTCATGGTTTTTACAGAATGTCACCAAACTTGCTAGAATAATATTTAATGTAATAAACATGTTCTTACACAAAATAGATTGCTTTCTTACTTTTTGACCTTTTTTTTTAATACCATGAGATCAAATGTTCTGAAACAGGGACATTCTTTGATCTAGACTTTTTTAACCTTAAATGCACTGAACCAAGTCTGTTTTAAAGTATTAATTTTTACTATAAATCTGAATTAATATATCTTCACACTTGTTCACTTTTTCAGCAAACATTACAAATATGATGTAAAATAATCAGAATTTTTAATGAAGTATTTCTGTTAAAGATTTCCTTCTAAATTTACTTTAATGAGTCTGACTCAGATTGACTAGTCTGACTCAGGGGATTTTTCATGTAAAAAATTACAATACTTATTTTCACCTTATAATTCCATATTTCATTTACATAACCTCTAGAACCTGCTATATCAGTATCAAGTTTCTTCAGTAAATCTTCAGATTTTATCTCTTCTAACACCACGTGGGCTCGGTCTGTTTGACTGACATTGTAATGAACACAAAAGATTTAAGTTGGAATTTTTTCTTTCTGGAATGATTTCAGATTGTAACTGAAGACTACAATTATTTATCCTAAACAGTCTCCAGCTTGTAACTGTTTACATCTGTTTTCATTTAACTTTATGATTTTATTGCCCTTTGAACCATGTCTAACTATGAAACTAGTGTAACAAGCTTGAAGTCTCCGAGCAGGAGCATCACTTGAGTTACAGTAAACAAAGTTATGAATTATTTTAAACACAACTTGCATGTACATCTCCCCGAGAAATTTTATTTAATCACCTTTTTGATTTATGCCAAGATACTTCAATTGTTAATTGTCATACAGAGTGCAAGTTAATTTTTTCAGTACAAGACTTTTGTATTAAGTTCAATATGATCCAAAAAAGTGCAAACACGTAGTGTTTTTTAAAATTTGCTTCTTTGAAACTCGGGTCTTCACACAGGGATCAAACGTAGACTTTTTTGTTTTAAGTAACTATGCTAGTTAAGTCTTTATGGATGTAAAGATAAACAAATATTAGATCTTGTTTTGAGAAGTCTCACACTAGTTGATCATAAGTTAAGTTCTTTTAAATGCAGTTAAACAAGTCCTGCAGGAGGGTAGTTTGTGTAATAGTAGTTTTTGTAATTAAACAAGTCCTGCAGGAGGGTATCTTGTGTAATGGTAGTTTTTGTAGTTAAACAAGTCCCGCAGGAGGGTATCTTATGTAATAGTAGTTTTTGTAGTTAAACAAGTCCTGCAGGATGGTATTTTGTGTAATAGTAGTTTTTGTAGTTAAACAAGTCCTGCAGGAGGGTATTTTTGTGTAATGGTAGTTTTTGTAGTTAAACGAGTCCTGCAGGAGGGTATCTTGTGCAGTAGTAGTTTTTGTAGTTAAACAAGTCCTGCAGGATGGTATCTTGTGTAATAGTAATTTTGTTTTTCTGCAGCTTTGTATGCAAGTCAGTCCCCAGTTAAGCCTGCAATCTGTGTGCAGTTTGTTTCAACAAGCTCGTTATTACAGAGGTATTCTGGACATATCACTGTCTGCCGCTCAGCGACGAGATCCACAAGGTCTAGCCATACATTTCTACAAAAATGGAGAGCCACCAGAGGACCAGCAGGGGTTACAGTATTATTCCAATAGGTGAGTGTGGTCAACAACAGTATAGAGCTCATCTGAAATACCATGAAGTACTTTGTTTAAAAGACTTAATGAGCGTTGTTGTTGTTGAAATGGATAATCTGTTTAGTGCACTAATGCTAAGATGATGTTTTGTGATGTTTCCGTGGATCTTCATTGGTTCCGTTATTCTCCTGTGTATGGATGTGACTGGAAATGGAACAGACTTTATTGGTTCATTTCTTATTTTAGACCAGTAGTATACATAGATTACTGGTCAGTAAGTTTGAGGTTCTTTCCATTCATTTTGGTCTGATTTTGGCCCAGTAGTGTACATAGATCACTGGTCAGTAAGTCAGAAATATGAGATTTGTTTTTTAATTTTCCAGTTTTTATTTTTGTCAGTAATTCCATTTATGTTGATATGGGATGCCATGTCAACATAAGCTGTTAGAAATTAACAACTGAAATAAGTGGATTTCCTGTTGTATTAAAGAATGACCAAATCACAGCAACTGATTGATCTGAAATTGTTAAAAGTCATTGTACAGAAAAGAAAAGGACAACAGTACAGACACGTGTATTTTGTTCTTTGCACCTAAAATATGGAAATTTTATTTGATAGAAAAACATACTTATCATTTATGTATATTCTTTAATCAATCAGATAAAGTGACTTAAGTTCTCCATGACTGTTCTGTAACATTCCATTCTAAAAACATCAATGATACATAGTTCTTCAGTATATCTTAAACTAGAACTGATAAAACTTCAACACAGATAATCAATCAGATAAAGTGACTTAAGTTCTCCATGACTGTTCTGTAACATTCCATTCTAAAAACATCAATGATACATAGTTCTTCAGTATATCTTAAACTACAACTGATAAAACTTCAACACAGATAATTAAACGAATATTAGAAAAACAATATTTCTTTATCCTAAATCAGTTAATTCTCCATAAGCTGATACTAGCAATGCACATTACAGAATCTCATCCTAAAAGGTGTGACCAAAAGAGGATTCAGCCTGCAACTTAAAGGAATTAAATCAAAATTGGCAACCAAACTGGTAGCTGCAGTTATAGCATTGATAAGAATTTTACAGTAAATATTCATTCATTGGTTAGCTATGCGACATTTTTTGTTCAACTTGGGGGCATGATGCTTAATCATCTTTTGGTCACACTTTTTTTTTTCACACCTAAGGTGTTTTTGATTAGATATCATTTGGTTGCCAATTTTGATTTCATTCCTTTAAGTCGCATGCTTAATCCTCTTTAAAAGTTTGTTCAAAGTTGAGCTGTTTTTGTTGAATAACTTGCACGTGGTTTAGAGTGAGACCAAATTTGACACCTAATTGTAGGTTATAAACATCTATCAGTGTACCAAATTTGATTCTGTGTTGAAGTTTTATCAGTTCTAGTTTAAGGTATACTGAAGAACTATATATCATTGATGTTTTTAGAATGGAATGTTACAGAACAGTTATGGAGAACTTAAGTCACTTGCTAACTGTCAGCACCTCCCTCCCACAGTCTCCCAGCATTCCAAGAGTTCCCGGTCCCCCACCAACTCGAGATCCCAACTTATTGTCACAGGAGGAAGCTAGAGTTTATGTAAGTTTAACAAACAGCTGTTGAGGTTTATTGTTTGATATTACTTGTGTTATTCACATTTTCATCAAACTTAAAGCTATGAAATTTAACAAACAGCTGCTGAGGTTTATTGTTTGAAACTAGTTGTGTTTGTCACATTTCCATCAAACTTAAAGCTATGAAGTTTAACAAACAGCTGCTGAGGTTTATTGTTTGAAACTAGTTGTGTTTGTCACATTTCCATCAAACTTAAAGTTATGAAGTTTAATAAACAGCTGTTGAGGTTTATTATTTAAAACTAGTTGTGTTTGTTATATTTTCATCAGACTTAAAGCTATGAAGTTTAATAAACAGCTGTTGAGGTTTATTGTTTGATATTACTTGTGTTTGTCATATTTCCATCAAACTTAAAGCTATCAAGTTTAACAAACAGCTGTTGAGGTTTATTGTTTGAAACTAGTTGTGGTTGTCATATTTCCATCAAACTTAAAGCTATCAAGTTTAACAAACAGCTGTTGAGGTTTATTGTTTGAAACTAGTTGTGGTTGTCATATTTCCATCAAACTTAAAGCTATGAAGTTTAACAAACAGCTGTTGAGGTTTATTGTTTGATATTACTTGTGTTTTTCATATGCCATTTTGTTTTACATTATACTTTCTAAGATTATAGTCTTTTCCTTTGAGAATAAAATCTGTTATGTTGACTCGGAAGATCTGACAATAGCAGAATTTGAGTTTGCTGATCCAGTGTGTGTAAAGTCTTCTGATAAAGCTGGTAATTTTTTTGTTTCAGTTTGAGCAGATGTTTCAGCTGGCCCTGAAGTCTGATGACGAACTTTTCCACGTAGCTTTGTATGACTGGCTTACAGAACAGCATCAGACGGAAAGGTTGTTAGATGTATGTATCAATGATCCTGGTACTGATTGTTGTGGAGGGAACTTACATTAAGTTTGTGTTTTTTGGGATGTGTACAACTCACTGCATTTTTTTTTAACAGTTTATCAGATCTACTTGGAAGATAAATTACATTAACTTTATAGATGGACAATTAGCAGAATTTGCTGATTGATTAATCGCCAGGCTCAGTAATTGGTTACATTCAACTCATCAGTTATTCTCACACGAAACTAGGATAATTCAATTACTCAAATATGGTAATTTTGATTAATTCATTACTTTCATGAATCATGACCCTAATTGATGAAGCAAAACAAACTTGAATTTATTGAATATAATAATGAGAAATCATAAAGACAATATTTTAATTTCATGGATAGATGGAATAATAAGAAAACTAATTTAGTTTATTATTTTCATGGCATTAATGGATTACATCATTATTTTTGATCAATGGGTTATTTCATTATATTAATTAATTGAGTTGGCTGTCCAGCTCTTATTAACTTTTCTCTATATGTCAAACACAAGCACCAGTTTTACAAAGTAACTGGTCTTCAAAATTCTTTTTGATAAAGTAGATTTTAGAGAATGTTGAAATAAAGTTTCATAAAAATAAATAAGAATTGTTTTTATGGTCTAGTTTCTCCTCACTCGTGCTTTCAAGGTAATTAATTTTATGTTCTATCTTCTCCTCACTTGTGCTTTCAAGGTAATTCATTTTATGTTCTATCTTCTCTCTTGTGCTTTCAAGGTAATTGTTTTTATGGTCTAGTTTCTCCTCACTTGTGCTTTCAAGGTAATTCTTTTTATGTTCTAATTTCTCCTCACTTGTGCTTTCAAGGTAATTGTTTTTATAGTCTAGTTTCTCCTCACTTGTGCTTTCAAGGTAATTAATTTTATGTTCTATCTTCTCCTCACTTGTGCTTTCAAGGTAATTCATTTTATGTTCTAGCTTCTCCTCACTCGTGCTTTCAAGGTATTTGTTTTTGTGTTATACATTTCTACTCACTTATGTTTTCAAGTTAATTTTATGGTTATTGCCAAGTGATCTTCTCCAACATTACTAGAAAATGAGGAACTTGTTAAATATTAACAAACAGGTTTTGATTTTATAAGGTGTTTGTGTGTTTTAGGCCTCACAAGGTTAATGTAGGGAAACCTCAATAAATTGTTTAACTGGATATCTTGGATTAAAAAATATTGGAAATCATATGTAGCTCATTAAATATGTAATATGTTACAGAGAAAAGTTAGTTTTGACTTAAAATCATCTGAATATCTAGAACTATTGACTCTTCCATATGTATAGTTGATACATTGGTTGGTATATTGAGTAAATGTTAGGTACACTCCCATCTTTACTGAAGTATGATATACGTCAGACATACTTCCACAAGGATAGTATATGTATCAGATATATAACGCCAACTTTCATAAAGCTAGGATATATCAGTCGTACTTTCATGGACATAGGATATGTTAGGATATTCTTTTTTAGAACTCTTGGTAAACCCATGTTTTTATTTTAGATCAAATCACCATTTTTGGAGAACTACCTGAAACAGTGTACCACAGCACAGCCAGATAACCTAGCTTTCACAGAGCTAGGATATATCAGTTGTACTTTCATGGACATAGGATATGTTAGGATATTCTTTTTTAGAACTCTTGGTAAACCCGTGTTTTTATTTTAGATCAAGTCACCATTTTTGGAGAACTACTTGAAACAGTGTACCACAGCACAGCCAGATAACCTAGCGTCTGTGGAACTGATGTGGAAGTTTTACGAAAAGAATCAGAATTATTCTGCAGCTGCGAGGATTCTAGCGAAACTTGCCGATCGACATGGGTAAGTTATGCTTCTTACAAAAAACTGAAAGTTTGATTTGTGTTTGGAGAGCATATTTTGGAAGTAACCTATTAAAAACTATGTAAGTTTTCAAATACAAGGTTCAAATGGAGACAAAAAAATTTAAAAAGCATTCAAATTTAGCCACAGAATCAAGGCATTGAAAACCTTTGATACTTGTTTTGTTTAAAGCTCTTAAAAAGTAGTTACGACACCTGGAAGAAGAAATAGCACCAGCGAATTAAAAATATAGAAAATTAACTTTTTGTTATTCTTCCACATATAAAAAAAGAAAAACTTTTGAACTGAAATTTATTTACTGAAGTTTTATTCAGTCATATATACAACTAGCAGGAGTACCTGTCCCATGTACGGAAGTTATGTAAATTCATGATTAATGAAAGGTTATGTTAGAATGTGAAAAGTTGCTTCCCTTATATGTAATTGTAAAAACTGCAAAGCACAAAATGTGAAGCTGCAACTTTGCATGTATCTCTACATAAACCCAACAAACCTTCATGTCAAATCTGGTGAAGATCCATCAACAAGGGGCGAAGTAGTGGTAAAAAACGACCATAAAAACTGCAAAATTGAAAATTTGAATGTATCTCCCCATGGACCCAATGAACCTCCATACCAAATTTGGGGAAGATCCATCTACAGGGGACAAAGTTGTGGTAAAAAATGCCCATAAAAACCGCAAAACTTAAAATTTGTATGTACTACCACATGGTCCTAATGAATCTCCATGCCAATTTTGGTGAAGATTCATCCACACTCTGCAAAGTAATTACATGGACAGACAACAGACACTACTATTAGATTTATATAGATTTAAAAAAAGTTTCAGTTTTGATTTTGTATTGATTTCAGCTAGCTAAGCTCTGAATGAAATCATTAGTGTTTGTATATTTCCTGAATTTTGTTTGTGCATAATATGGCACACACAGCCCTCTAGGAGGAAACTCAAAATGGTTTTTAACAAAATAGTGTTAATTTAAACCTGTTAACTGGTTCAGTTTTATCGATTTTACCCAGCCACTATTCCTCAACCTTGGTTGTCATTGTATGACATAACTCCCTATATCTTGACTTTGAGAAGTCATGGTGATCTAACTGATTAATGTTCTTTTCAACTGTTTAATATGGCTTCTAGTTCAAGAGAGATTCATAAAGCAATTGAAACAAGTTGGTTAAGACTAAACATAATGAGGGGTTTCTAGAAGAAAATATGTTTCTTTACATCTTCTGCCACACTTGTTAAAAGCTTGCTTTATCATTTTATAGTTCATTAGGATAGGATAATAAATGTTAATCGTGGAAGAAGGTTAAGTAGGCTTAGATAGATCATTTTTCGGTCGACTGTATCAAATTTTGTTTTGCTGCCAAAGCCACTGTTTGTTAGGCCATGTTTACTTTAGACCTTATTGGTCTAAGTAACTGGTGTAAAGGGTAAACTAAGTTGAAGGAAAGAAATGTATAAATCAATATAAAATGTATCTAAAACTTGTTACATTTTAATTAAAGGCTAGATTTTAACTTAAACTGTATTAAATGATATCTATCAAAAGAAGTAACTTTTATAAATTATTAAACAAAAAAAAGCTTTAAGTGTTTGAGGTATAGAATACAGTATTACTGTCACGAGGTTTGATTGCAAGATAAATGTGGCTTAAGATTATAGATTATCAACATTTTTTTTATATAACTTTGAATTGTAAAACGTGCTTGTGGTTGACATGTAATGTGTGTGTGTAAGAAAAACTGGGACAAATAAAGGTTGGGTATATGTACATTTGTATTTTGTTTTTTACTTCAGAACCGACATAAATCTTCAACAAAGGTTGGAGTATTTGTCTCGGGCTGTCATCTGTGTAAAAAGTTCAGAACTGAGAATAACAACAGCTGGAGAAGGAGAATTTCTGCATGATCTGGAAGAAAAGATGGAAGTAAGTGTGAAATATAGGCTGATGCATTTTTTTTACTACAAAAACCTAAAGCTATTAATATCATCCATCATCATTACTCTCTCAAAAAAGTTGTAAATAACAAGATGAGGAAAGAATAGTTGGAGGTGTTTCTATGTTACATTTTAATCACTCATAACCAGAGCACAGAAGGTACAAACACCAGAAGTTTCATGAACCATATGGAGACCAGTTTGTTATTAATGAAAGGACAGCTTTACATATTAAATATAGATTGCTCCTTGTGAAATATTAATGTTTTGTGTTTTACTAGTATGAAGTAGTACATCTTTACAATAAAGTGTTATTTTATTTAGGTTGCACGGATCCAGCTACAAGTTCTAGAGGCATTGATGAAAAAGTCAATTCAACTGCCTGTCATACAAGATGCTATATCTAGGCTCAATTCTGATGTTCTGGATATAACACAGGTATGTCTAATTAAACATTATAATGTGAACTTTATGACAGAATAACTTAATTGTGCTCTGACTACATTCATTTTGACAGTATTATGAAAAATGAAACCTTGTACGTTTATAATTTAACTGAAAAATATGTGTAGCCTTTTTAAACTCCTTCCATGATATGCCAGAGATTACATGGATATTCACCATGTTTATAAAAAATATTTGCCCAAATTTATGCATGTTATCATGTATTACAATCAGTGCTCACTAGATGGCTTTGACTTTGATAATGTTACTAATTATTTACCTGTACTTACTAGAGTGAAACAAAAACGTTTATTAAAGGTCCCAATATTATTCACTAAAAAACTTGGATAGAAGGAACAGAGGTCTCAGTACTTTACTGAAAAGAACTTTGAAAGAAGAAGAAACTCCCTTTCTTCTATCCAACTTCTCTACAGTAAAGTATTGATATCTACCTTTCCTCTATCTAACTTCTCTACAGTAAAGTATTGATATCTACCTTTCCTCTATCCAAGTTCTTTACAGTAAAGTAATGATATCTACCTTTCCTCTATCCAAGTTCTTTACAGTAAAATATTAATATCTCCCTTTCCTCTATCTAACTTCTTTACAGTAAAGTATTGATATCTCCCTATCAATACTTTACTGTAAAGAACTTGGATAGAGGAAAGGTAGATATAAGTTCTTTACAGTAAAGTATTGCTACCTTTCCTCTATCCATATCAATACATTACTGTAAAGAACTTGGATAGAGGAAAGGTAGATATCAATACTTTACTGTAAAGAAGTTGGATAGAGGAAAGGTAGATATCAATACTTTACTGTAAAGAAGTTGGATAGAGGAAAGGTAGATATCAATACTTTACTGTAAAGAACTTAATAGTATCCTTAATCCAAAAAATTTTAGACAGGGTGAATGGAAGTTTCAGAGGTTTTTTGATGTGGATAGGTTTCTTAACTCTTAAATATAAAAACACTTGTTAATAATTATAAATGTTTATATTTTTGTACCACTGTTGTTTCTGTTAGATATTATGTCTTACTGGTATTTTAATGTATTTAGCTGAAACCCAAAGCTTTTGTAAAATTGCTAAATCTAATTGAGAAAAACAGAAAGTAATTCCTGTATACGACACATTTTTTAAGGTTGTTTTCTTTCAATCAGCTGTATGAAGATTTTGCTGAAGTTTACGACTTACCTGAGTGCAAACTTTCCATTGTACACTGTGCTGGCCATTATGACCCGACCTTGATTGAGAGTTTGTGGCAGAATATAATAGATAAGGGTAAGATTGTTGAACATAATATAGGTAAATTTAAAAATGCACGATTCAAAGAACATTTGTCTGATACCAGGGTTCATCTAATAATGTGTGTGTGTGTGTATATATATATATATATATAGTAGGTGTGT